GGAAATAAGCACTTTAGCCCTTTAGTTTTAAAATACCTAGTAAACAAAACAATTTCAAAGTTTTAAATACAAAGTTAGGTTAAGTTTAAATAGCGGACGCGACGCGAACAGAATTCTTTCCGATCCGATAACTATAAATGAAGAGAGTTAATACCACCTCGCGTAAAGGAAATAACACCTGGCCTTATAACGTCCATGCACGCTATTCGGTTTAGCGATATCTCTCTATTATGCTGTTTATTGTTGTTTTACGCGAGTTTATTTTTGCGCACAAGAAATCTTACTCGTTTGCATTCACATTTGTCAAGCTTTCGTCAAGCTTTAACCGTGGACGGTTGTTGGTTTGTATAAAAAAGAGCAGTACAAGAAGTAAATATCATTATGGGAGAAAAAATCTGTTGATAAGGAGAGTTCTGGAAATTTCAGTTCATTGGTATTTTATTAAACAGTCACTGTTTGATCGAGCTCGAAATAACAATGTAGAAATTAAATTTAAAAAAATCTTTTTGGTTGTGTTTAAAAGAAAATTAATATCGTTGGATATGTATTCTAATATTTTATAAAGGAAATGTCCTTGTAGTCCAATGTCATACGATGCTAGTTTTTAAGGCCTTTTTGTGCAAAGGATGTTTTTTTGCTAATTGACTCAGTCGTAAGTTGTATTTTTTTCTGTTATACAATTTTAAAATGATAATGCCGTTTTTATTTATACATTTTAGAAACTGTCCTGATGATGGGAATAAAATTCGAAAGCTTGACAAATTTGAAAAAGTAGTTTTATTAGCCTATGTGGTGATTATTGACTGCATCCTCACTTAAATTTTGAGTTTTTTCTTAACTTAGTCAATCACGACTAACCTGCTATGTCATATAGTATACCTAATCTGTGATTATACTATATCCGTGTTGTAGCACATTTTTCGACAACTTCTTTATTTTTAAGAAAGATGGTCAAACATCCACAAAATATTCCTTATATTTGGACTAAATTTTCTCGAAAATATAGACATAATTTAAAATTCCGTTACAATACGGAAATAGATTGAAGTTTTCTGATTACAGTGATATATAATTTATATGGCTTTGTAACAAATTGCTCTATATTTTATAGCAAATGCTGAAGCTCTGCAAAGCTTAATCAAGCCTTAATCAAAGCACGTGTGTTTGGAATTTTGGGTGTGGCTTACCACGACAAGATCGGGCTAAGCCTTAAGCAGATTTCTGAAATATAATATATATTTCCTTCAGCCACACAATCGGTTTGGTTAGGTTGTGATAGACTCTTAATGACTATGGTACTTAATCACAGCCACCTAGATTTAATTAAATAATAAGGATTTACTGACATTATACACACTTTAAGTCATGGTTGTAGAAAACCCTGTCTTTTAATTTCCAGAATGTTCTCGAGGCGCTTCAAATTCTGTGCTAAATTTCAGAGTCGATATTGGCCTTTTCCGAAATCCAATTGCCGAGATAATTGCACATGATTTTGGTTTTATCTATGTTCAGCTTAAGGCCCAAAGCCTTGTATGCCCAGGTATATGTTTTCAGCATTTCTTGTAATGAGGAAGATGCATATATTTTATTTTTCGCCAGAAACTGTTCAATTTATTAGAATAAATATGTATAAATGCAAAAAAAACTTTTTTCTTGAAAGCAGTATCACAATTTTATAAAATGGGCCATTAAAATACTATGGATAACGCAAACGACGCCTTGCGAATTGAAACGATATCAAAAACGATATTCTATTGGTCTGACGTCACCCGCCGTTCTCGTCGACGCGCGATGGCCAGCAGCAGCCAGACGTGTTCCGTTTATGTACGTATTTAGGTGGCGTACTAAGACATTTTTGTTGCTTTTAGCATTGATTGAAGGAGTTTTTTATGCTTTTTGCGCAGTTAGGATTTGTATGTGTTGTGTGTTCTGAGAATTTTTTAAGTAATGGCAGATTCCGGGTTTGTAAAAGCACAATCAGATAACTTGCCAAAAGTCGATGCTTTTATGTTGGCTGCTTTTATAAATACAAATTCCCAATTTATTGGTGCTGAATTACGAGGAAAAAAACAGAGAGGTATGTAACAT